CGCTCTGGAGATGACCCCTGCTTCCCCTTGAATGTATCTGCTGCTGTGAGCAGACCGTGCTGTCAACATGGACCAAACACCTCTCCACAGTGTCGGAATGGATTGGATAACAATGGATTCGCAGGCTGCATCACCTTTAGTGGTCAGTTCACCAGATACTTGTGAGTCACCCGACCGTCATAAGATGGGCAGATAGTCTCCATCTCTCCTATCTATAACACCAAGTCACACAGCACACTTCACACAGAGATGTCTGTCACAGGAATACAAAGAAAGGTTAAGGCAGGGTACAGGCTGCAGAGCCAAGAGCCCAGGCAGAGGGACATGTGACTTCAGAGTCAGAGTCACTGTAGGTGGTCAGAAAAGAATTCTAACAAACCAGTTCCACAGAGTTGTCAAAGCAGAGGGTCTGGATGGACGGATGGACAGCAGTTTCAGAAGTCAGCTTAGAGTGTCGGCTCAAGGTATCAGCTTGGCGTGGGCCTTCATGGTTGTCATGGGCAGAAGAAACCTTGCTCTGCTAAAGCCCAATAGAGCAGGAAAATGCAGGTTTGTCACTGTAGAGATTTCTTGGGGAAAAAAAATACCACTCATGATCTGGAAAATGACCAGGCCCACCGGACAACTCAATAAGATCTCACCTTTGCATGGTTCCCAGAGCAGCCTGATCTCCCTCTTGGTGCCATCTCCCTCTCCTGGAGCTAAGCCCCCAACCAAAGCTGGGCCTGCATGTCCTGCTCCTAGGCTCAGTTTCCTTGCCACTGTCATGAGTCAGAAGTCCCTGTACCCAGCATCAAACTCCCAATCTACTTGAACACTCATGACTAAAGCAAATAAATCTGTGTAATTAATGTGTTTGAATTGTTGTAGCATGTGACATGTTTATACACGTAACTGCATAACTAAGTGCTAAAATGGTAATGAAGTAGCTGGGCATGGTGGTACATGCTTGTGATCCAGGCCATTTAGGAACCCGAGGCAGGAGGATGGCAAGATTGAGGGCGGTCTGGGCAACTTAGCAAGACCTTCAGCAACTTTGCAAGACTGTCTCAAAATAAAAAAATAAAAAGGGCTAGGGATGAGGCTCAGTGGCTGAACGTTCCTGGGATCAATCCCCAGTACCATCAAAATAAACAACAACAACAAAAAAAAACAGGTAACTAAGTAAAATATTTTTTAGAGATGTCTTCTTTCTTTTTCTTTGTTTTACATTGCTGGGGACAGAACCCAGGGCCTCAGATGTGCTAGCTGAGTGCTCTATCACTAAGCATATCTCCAGCCCGGGGTGGGGGGTGTCTTATACGAGCACCGTATTGGATGGAAAGAAATTCACTTTGACATCTAGTTTTCCTATAGACTCTGTATCATTTCAAGTGAAATTCTTAATTTTTCAGTGCCTATTTTCTCCCCAAATTGAATTAATAATAGGTGTCCCTACTTCAGTAAAATAACATGATGTCTGGGGTTTGCTTTAAAATACCTGAGGTTTGGACTGGGGCTGTAGCTTAGTGGTAGAGCGCCCACCTTGCATGTTTGAGGCACTGGGTTTGATCCTCAGCACTACATAAAATAAATAAAAGATATTGTGTCCAGCTACAACTAAAAAATAACAATTAAAAAAATACCTAAGGTTTACTAAAAAGAACAAGTAAAAAAAAAATTAAATAAAATACCCAAGGCAGGGCAGCTGGGGTGTGCTCAGTGGTTAGGTGCTCCCTGCACATGTGAGGCCCTGATATGCACTCCAGCAACACGACAAAAAGGGTGGGTGAGGAATAGATATAAGATTGACACATGCTATCATTTGTGCCTGTGTGCTGATGATAGAACCCAGGGCCTCACGCATGCTGAACATATACCCTATCTCTGAGCCTCGTCCCTAATTTATAGCTGAATGCTGAGCATGTGGAGTCTCATATCCTGCCCTTCTTTCTACCACCATGCTTGTGAAAATTTCTAAAATAAAATGTTAAAAAAAAAAATGCCTGGCCTTGCCTAACACATGACATCACCATAGCTTTGAACAGTGTCTTTGAAGCACTTTTTATTTCTTAGAGAAGGCTGCTGCCTGAACACCAGATCAAGTTTTACACAGCAGCCCTAAAATTGTTGCATCACACTGTGAGGTCCTGTCGACAGGGAGACAAAAAATACACTAGAACCCAGGGGAAGCACAGCTATGCAATATGAAGATACAACTTTCAACGATGAAATGCTCTGTGGAAGATCTGACCTAGTGTAAAAAGTGGGATCCCATCTGGGAAGACTGGTGATGCAGGAAATAAATGTGCAATACATCAAAAATATGTTGTCCAGTCACTGACAATTCATTTCTAGAATTCCATTTGTGTAACGCTTCCAGTCTCATAAATGATAAATAGTAAGGTTTTACTTATAACTCGTTGGTCCCAGAGGCAGGTGAGCAGGGAATGGAAGGGGCTTTGAGGAGGCGGGTTAACCCTCACCCCGGTCCTGCTGACGCTCGGCTCTGTGGGTCGAGGGAGTTTGCGTGCCAGCAGGAGAATCCAATAAATGTAGGAAGCCAAGCCTATTAAAACACAGACATGACTGTGAGATGCGCAGTATGGGCCATGTAGAAGGAAAAGCATTGACATCCGTTCTGTAACAAATTATCAAAAATCATTAACAACATGGAGGGAAGTTATACTTGAGAACAAATTCTTGTTGGCTCCTTTGAAACCCCTGAGTTTTCTGTTATCATACAAAGGGAATTTTCTAGAGACAAGTAATAAGTCTACTTTGAAACCTGGGAGGGAAGCCTGCCTGCTCCTGCACCAGAGATGGGGTGTCTGTTGGTCCACACCATGAACCGGGCAAGCCGGGAGCAGGGAACTCCAGGTCCCCCGGATGGCGAGGAACCCTGACTATTCTGAGACGACAAACATGAAGAAAGGCAACATGTATCTCGCTGAAATTGAAAAAAAAAAAGGGACCCCAAATTACTCAGTAGCAGCTCCATGGCTGGATGCTGTGAGCCCATCTCAGTGAGCGCAAAGCAGCTCGGCTGGTCCAGGAGATGCATCAGCAGAGGTTTATTACTTGTCTCAAGCAAGACGCACACTGGAGTTGATTTGCAAAGCAGTGTTCTCACCACACAAAGACAGCCCGGGATTTTAGTGGGGAGGCTTACACATATTCACAGAGGGAAGATGCACTGTCACATGTCCAGGCAGCCACATTCCTGAGCACTTTCAGTTCAAGGTCAGAGTCACATGTTCACACAGAGTCGGTGGGCACATTCCTTGAGCATAGAATTTAGTCCTTGTAAGTTTTCCAAAGAGCCTTAGCTGAAACAAAAAGGAAAACAACTTTGAAAACCCATTAGCAGTCTTTTAACTGGGCAGCAGCTTCCCCCATAAGTATCAGAGCCTGGCCCCACACAGTGTCAACCTTGCCTAGCTAGCTGCTCAAAGTTGCCCCAATTTTTTAAATCATTAAACACCCCCATCATTGCCAAAACAAAAACAAACAAACAAACAAAAAAACCCACAAAACAAACATGAGTTACAGAACTCTTTGGCAATACAGGATCACTGATGGTCCAAAGAGTTGTCTCCAAATAAGACAGAAGTTGTTTATTGTTTAGCAAACCCTTTGGTCCTGGGAAAAGATAGTATAGAGAAGGCCTGTGGGAGAATCTGAGTAAGGTTCTTAAGGGACTTTGATAACTTTTACATAACCTTAGCCAACACGAAGTTAATTACACACTATTTCCATCTAGCTATTAAAAAAGTACACATCTTTTAAAAATATTTTTCTAGTTGTGGATGGACATAATACCTTTATTTATTTATTAATAATTTATTAGTTGTATCTGATGGACCTTCATTTATTTTTTATTTATTTATTTTTTTTAAAGAGAGAGTGAGAGACAGACAGAGAGAGAGAGAGAGAATTTTTTTTTTAATATTTATTTTTTAGTTTTCGGCGGACACAACATCTTTGTTTGTATGTGGTGCTGAGGATCGAACCCGGGCCACACGCATGCCAGGCGAGCGCGCTACCACTTGAGCCACATCCCCAGCCCAAGGACCTTCATTTATTTATATGTGGTGCTGAGAATCGAACTCAGTGCCTCACAAATGCTAGGCAAGCACTCTACCACTGAGCCACAACCCCAGCCCTATTTTGTGTTTTATTTACAGACAGGATCTCACTGAGTTGCTTAGCACCTTGCTTTTGCTGAGGCTGGCTTTGAACTCATGGTCCCCCTGCCTCAGCCTCCCAAGCCATTGGGATTACAGGTGTGTGCCACCATGGCCAACTAAGATTTCTTATTTGAATTGAAAGTAGTGAAGAAAGCCAGACATGGTAGTGCACCCCTGCAATCCCAGCAGCTCAGGAAGCTTAGGCAGGAGGAATGCAAGTTTGAGACCAGCCTCAGCAACTTACCAAGACCCTGTCTCAAAATAAAAAAATAAAAAGGGCTGGGGATGTGGCTCAGTGGTTAGGCACCCCTGGGTTCAATGCCTGGTACCAGGAAGAAAAAAAAAAAAGTGAAAGAGACACCCATTTGCAGGACATCAGAATATATCATCCAAATGTGCCTCGTGGGTATAAGCTGATTATTTTGAAAACCAGCAGACATTAAAGCAGTTCTGAAAAGGGAGCACAGGGTATTTTGTAAGGGAAATGCACATTCATCAAAGAAATCATCATTTGTAAGAGTGGACTCTCACTCTCTCTCTCTCTCTCTCTCTCTCTCTCTCTCTCTCTCTCTCTCTCTGAAAGATGACTACATCACAGGAGACTGAGATCTGCAGAAGGAGTGCTACCTAGGTTTACCTGGCCACCTCTCCCTTCCCGCCTCCCACAGCCTCCCTTCCTTTACCTGAAGGAGGTATCTAGGCTCAGTTCTGCAGCCTCTTGGAGTTCACTCATCCCTGAGTTCCTCCTCCTACGTAGAAGAGACACGTGTCACCACACCCCCATTGGTCTGTCCCTGTTTATATCCCTTTTCTAACAGGGGCCCAGGGAGACCTAGAAGGGAAGAAGGAAAAGAGAGATTTTTCTGAGTGTGAAGAGCCCTGGGCAGGAGGAGGCCAGCAGGGCCTGGAGCCAGCCTCCAGTTTGTCCAATAGTGTCCTCCTGTAGAAGGACCGGGCAAGGGTCCTCCTGGGCTTGGAACTGCATGAGCTTGTTCTCTTCCCGTTTAACAATGCTGATCACTAATCTTCCACTGATGCTGACTGATACTTGCACATTTACAGAGGTGCCTTTATTTGCAGGTGTGCAAGGTACATGGAAACAGCCTGAGAAGAGAGCTGTCCCGACGCGGAGGCAGGGGAGAGGCGCTAGCCCAGCCACGGAGGAGGGCCACCTTGCGCTGAGGTCTTTCTTTGTTACTGTCATTGGAAATATGTTGCAGATGCAGAAACTGTGTTCTTTGATGTCTCAGGACATCCAATGGCAGATGCTCATTTCAGCATCATGAGGAGGACAGGCAAGAAGTAAAAACCCTTTTTTCAGTTTGATGCTCCCTTTTGGGCAGACTGTGCCATGCTGGGCCCAGGAAGGTGGTGGGCCAGTCACCTCCCCTCCCCTCAGGGTGTTTACCCTCAGCCTCCCCAGATGTGCCACGGCAGTCTGAGCCCCTGGAAAGGTCAGCTCTGGGCAAGGAGGTGGGCAGGGCCTTCAGCCAGGCGGTCACTCTTCCTCCCCTCCCTTCGTCCCTCCCTCTCGGCTCCATTCTCCCCACTGATGGCCCAGGCTGAGAGGAGCCTGAGCTCCTCCAGCTAAGGGTGTCTGCACCTGGGGCTCTGTGCTGGCAGAAGAGCAATGGTCCAGGTGACACTGCTGTGGCCAGAGAGGAGAGGAAATGGGAATCTGAAAGCATCTTTCTGTGGCTGGTCCTCAGCTGCACCATCCTTCAAGAAAGTCCGAGGGAGAGTGGCCAGCCAGGACCATGGGCCTTCCAGGGTCTTCCTATGGTGGCCTTGACCATCCAGAGGTCCAGGGAGAATGTGCAACAGACCTGTGAAGCCTGTGCTGCTTATCACCCAAGGGCCCCGCAGAGAGAGCACTGGGCCCTGGATTCTGCAGAGAGACAGAACCACCAGGACAGATGGCTGCAGCTCTATGTCTGTCTCTATCTATGGAGAGAGACGGATTTTAAGGAATTGGGGACTGGCACGTCTGCAGTTTCGTAGGGAGGTTCAGACTTGCCCTGTGCAGTTTTGGAAACTAAAGTGTGCTGAATCAGATGGACACAGACTGTCAGCAGCAGGAAGGATTTCTGCACGTTCACCTGTGCACAGGAGCCTCACTGAGTAGTAAGCTCAAAGGAGGGCCAGGGGTGAAGACCAAGCACCCTCTTCATGGAGTTGGGAAAGGGGGACCTGGAGGCCGTTTTAGAGGGCAATGCTTTTTTAGAGAAATCAGTGGGTCTGAAGGACAGCAGCCTGAGACAGCGTTCCTCTGGGAGAGGAGGTAGCAACAAGTAGGAAGGGGAGGTGAGACTGTGCTGGAACAAAGGTGCTCTCCTGCAGGAGGAGGACCTGTGTGTCCCCAGGGAGATGACCAGCACAGGACAAACTGGTGTGCGCCTCCTAGCCTCCTTTGCTGGGAGTTCAGGGAGGGAACTAGCCAATCACACTTTTTTGGAAGACCTTTCTTCAGTCAGCAAAAGAGGCTTCATGGAGCCTTCCCCATCCCTGTGCCAGAGCGGGGAAGTCCCTGGTTTCCTCTAGTTCTAAATGTTCTGAAGCATCATTTTCCAAGTTTGGACACAGGGCAAGCTGCAGGCGGGAATTCTAGCAAGATGTGAGGTTGCAGCGGGAGACCCAGGGCAGCCGGGAGGCAGGAGCCCTTCCTTACTGGGCCCTCGGGCTCTTCTCTGAGGCCTTAACATATGAAAGAGACCCCTCAACGTTGTGGAGGGTCATCTCCTTCACTCAGATCTCCTTATCAAAGTGTCAGCCTTGCTGGGCATGGTGGTGCCCAGCTGTAAGTAAGCCAGATACTTGGGTGGCTGGGCAGGAAGATCTTAAGTTTAAGGCCAGCCTAGAAAACTTAGCAAGACCCCGTCTCCAAACAAACAAACAAAAAAAAAATGGCTGAAGGTGTATCTCAGTGGTAAGGTATCCCTGATTCAATCTCCTGTGCCAAAACATAAAATAATTGAATTTTTAAAGTTCAAAATATAAAATGTTAGTCTTATCTAAAACTTCTCCTTCACAGAAACGTCTCATCTACCTTTCACCATTTAATTGGGCACCACGGCTAGCCTTGTTGACACCCATAACCAACTATTGTTACAGGGCAGTGAAAGGACACTCCCAGAGTCCTCACAAAGTCCAAGGACCACGCCACACACCGGAATCCCATGCAAGAGATTTACTGTCAGTAACAGGAGGCAAACCGACAAGGCCGTCCCTGGGAGGAGAGCAGCAGCCTGTGGCACTCACAGAGCAGCTCCATAGCCTGCAGGAGGAATCTCGTAAACTGCTTAGGAGCCTAAGCTGGGAGGGGTCGATCCTTCAGCAGGCACACATCTTACGGGAAGTTGGAAGTCATGCAGTTTTGCCTCAGAATCCAAACTTTGGAACCTCTAGGTAAAATGGCTCCCGACCTCAGATGGTGAATCTGATGCCAATAGCCAGGCTATATGGACAAGGACCAAACCAACTCCATTTTTCCCCGAGACTCCACGTCATGTAAGAAATGCTTCTGCCATGGAAAGCCCACCTCTGTGCCCACCAACAGTTGCTTGGCACAGCAAGGTTGGCAACAGAAAATGGCGATCCTTATACAATGTGGAAGTGTTCTCTCTTTGGTTTCTGCTTCTCTTGGACAATGTATCCAATCTCTGAGTGTCTACATGTTAGTAACCATTCTGTAACTTACACACAACTAGGGACGTTTTGGCCCACTCTCTTTTCTGCTTATGATTTTAGATCTCATGACATTTGTGCTTTTGAATCAGCAACAGCCACTTGTGCTTTAATATGGTTTTGGACTATAAAAGGTGTACTCAACAGGAGGGGGTCAAAGGATGTAGACTTGCAGCCTCCCTCTTAGCCCACCAGCTGATGGATCAGGACGGCCAACTGGTGAATAAATTTGTCTCCTGTTTTAAGATTGACTCGGTGATTTATTGCTATCTTGCCTTAACACTGTCATAGGCACCTGTCCTTATGTAGCAGAGACAGTGCCGGGTGGGTGCACTGGTGACTTTCACAGTGTTTTCTCAATGAGCTTGCTCCTGCTGTGGTCTGTTACCTTCCTGGAAACAGAAAGCACACTGGGCTCAGGCACAGTCCACTGTCTGTCCAGGAGCCCATTTTTGTCTGTAATCTTAGGTTTCCAGGAGGCTGAAGCCAGAATATTGCTTGAGTCCAAGAGTCTTGGGCCAGCCTGGACAATGTGATGAGAAAAAAATTTTTTTAATTGAGCAAAGCAGGCTTGTCACTTCAACCATGATGTCATTTGCCATGAGGGATAGAATCAATGCTTTCAAGCTGAAGTTAGAATTCTGGAGAGCTTATGTTTGTCATTATAAACTTGACCAATACTAACTGATTTTTTTCTGTGTCTGTGTCAGTGTGTGTGTACACTAAGGATTGAATCCAGGGGTGCTCTACCACTGAGCTATACCCCCAGTGCTTTCTGTTTTTTTGAGAACTTGCCTTAAAAAAACCTGCAACCCTCCTGCCTCAGCCTCCCAAGTAGCACAGATATGTGCCAGCATGCCCAGCACTTACTGACTTGTCTGATGAGGCTGAAAGTAATATTTTTATTTATTTATTTTTTTAATTTTTATTTTATTTCATTTTTTTTGAGTTGTTGATAGACCTTTTATTTTATTTTACGTGGTGCTGAGAATTGAACCCAGTGCTTCACAATGCCAGGCAAGTGTGATACCGCTGAACCCCAGACCCAGCCTCTGAAAGTAATATTATCAACTGTGATTTTTAAATTTTGTTTGGAGAAATGGACCAACATTTGGAAGAGCCACATAACTCAATGAATTAATATTTCCCAAAAGGTCATGTTACAAAATCACTTGTGGGTAGTGACCCATTAGCTGTGCCAGGAAGAACAATGGCTTTCGGTCTAAGAGAGCAACAGTTCATTGATGTGGAACCTGCATCCACACCAACAGTCCTGTAAGAAGGTCCATGTGTCCAGCTTAGCTAAGTACCACATTACCTGCAAAGGCTGCAGGAAAGCCCCTCTGTTCTCCAAGTATAAACCTCCGCAAGTTCAAATTTTCTTCATACAACCTTTCATGTTGGGCGCAATATCACATGCCTATAAACCCAGTATTCCGGAGGCTGAAGCAGGAGGATTACAAGTTCCAGGCCAGCCTCAGCAATTTAACAAGACCATCTCAGAAAAAATAAAAAGAGATGGGGGTTGTGGCTCAGTGGTAAAGCATCCCTGGGTTCAATCCCTGGAACACCCTCCCCCCCCCAAAAAAAAAAAAACTCACAAAAGAAACGTTACAAGTCACTGAATTCAGAGACAGACAAAAGCACTCTAGTGTTCTTTGGTCCAGTCAGACGTAAAGAAGATTCCCAAAAACATAAAACAGTAACTCCCTTTTCATTCTTTTCCCCTTTTTTCTTTTGGGAAATAGTTATTTTTCACAAAACATGTAGTTCAGGTCATCACAGAATAACATGGAATAGGCTTCGTTTTCATAGGTTGATAACCTTTTAGAAAAGCCACTTGAGTTACCGTCTAGTGTCATGTGCTTTCATGAGCTCCAAGGCTCCTGTGAAGGGACACCTCTCGGCCTCTGGCCAGGAGAGTTTGGACTGGTGTGAGCGGACCCACCCCAAAGGCTCTGTGGAATCTACATTCAGTCTTCTTAGTTCCTTTACACAAGTTAAACTTCTTGCACATTTGAGAAGATGAGAGGGGAGAGAGAGGGCATTAGAGAGATTTGGTAACAAAGGGACCTTAAAAATCATGATACCACCCATACCCATTAGCACAGCTACAACCAGAAAGCCAGAAAATGGGAAGCGTTGGTGAGACTGGAGAGAGCAGAGCTCTCCTGCAGGGCTGATGGGAAGGCAGAAGGGGTGGCCCCACAGAGAGCAAGGGGCTTCTCCTCGTGACCGGCAGCCCCTCCTAGGACTATGCCCCAAGCACTGAGAGCAGGGTCTGCAAGAGGTACCTGCACATCATGATCATAACAGCCTGTTTACAGCAGCACACAGAAGGACCCGCCCAAGCGTCCATCGACAGAAGAGGATACGTACCAGGTGGCCATCTGTACCATGGAATTTTGGTCAACCTTGAAAAGAAGGACCTTTTGGCACCTGCTCCAACAGGAACCTAAGCCTGGGGCTCTGAGGAATGGTTAAAATGGATCAGAATTCATAGCAAACACAGACAGAAGCTCGACTACTTACTGATTCTGTTTCTCAGACCAGTGAGCGGGCCCACCAGGCTGCAGGCTGCAAGCAGAGGGTGACTTTGACCACCCTGACACTGGTGGCGGGGAAACAGAGCAAAGTCTTGGCGGCCCTGTGAGCTGTGATTTCCATGAGAAAAACATCATCCACAATCTCCTTGACTATAGATCTAATTTAGAAACGGGCCCAGTCTTAAAAGAAATTGAAGCTACGGCCTGTTTCACAAGGTTGCTGCTTTCTAGAAAGCAGAGGGGGCCCTTGGCAGTGGCCTGGGGAGACCTGCCCTGTCTGGCCCAAAATAAATCTCCACTCCTGCCTCACTTTCTCCACCAAGCATCAGAATGTCACAGCCCAGTTCCAGAGTCTGTCCTCTAGGGGAGGTTTGGACAGCCATGGTGGGTGTGATCTGGGGTTGAGGCCAGCAAGGTATGGGAGACCCAGAGAAGTTTCCAGCATCAGCGCAGATGTTCCAGGACAACAGTGGGACAAGGGCCTGGAAAGCTGTCCAAAGCCTCATGTCATCAAGGAAACACAGGGACTATAGAAGCAGAGCCATGTGTTGTCTGTGTGACTGGTTAAAATTCCAGGTAGGTAGGCCCTGAGACTAGTGGCCACCACAGGACTCTCGCCAGGGTGGACTTTCTGCACACTTTTAAGTGATGAACAGATTTTATGTAACCCACCAAGATGGGAAGGCATGCTCATGTGTAAGAAGTGTCACTGTGGTGCCAGGGTTGGAGCTCAATGTATGGTGGACCTTTGATGTGGACAGGTGTGATCAATTATGGCTGTGTGGTGTCCAGCCATGAAACAGGTGATGGGATCCTGCTGACCCATCAATAGTGAAGGGACGGGATGAGAACCTCACAGAGCAGGGTCTTGGTGCCTCTGATGCAGCAGTCAGCGCTCAGGTCCCAGCCTCCCAACAGCTCTGCCTGGACAGGTTTGCAGGTTGGGGTTTCCTGATGGTGGGTGACATGTCCCGAGGAGAAAGAGCAGCACACAGCCACTGTTTGTCCTACCACACATGCTGGAAGCAGAGCACTTCCATGACCTTGCAAGTGGACTCTTCTCAGACAGCAGATCCCTGGTGGACAACTTAGCTTGGTTTTGACACTGTCCACCTGGAGACAGTATCAGATCCTATAAGTCAAGGGCTCAGTCCCTGAGACAACCCCTCCTCCGACACCAGTCTCAAGTTGATTGGGATCTGTGCTTCTGACTGACCTTCTGTGAACTGGAGTTTCCCCCATACCCCACCCATCTGCCCCAGACCAGGTTTGACCGTTTGTTAGCAAGACTCACAGAACTCTGAAAGACTCACAGAAACACTGTCCTCATGTTTACCCACTTTTATGAAGGGTACAACTTGGGTTGTGGCCAGCCCCCATCCAGGAGCCCACCAGGAACCACCTCACTGGGACAAAAGATGATCCTGTCACTCTGGAAACTCCCAGGGATTAGGCACTCTGGACTGAACAAGGGTCAAAGGACAAATATTAAGACAAAAGATGTTACCAGCACCCCTATTGCTCAGGAAATAGCAAGGATTTTAAGGAGTTCGGTGCCAGTCACCAAAGACAAAGATCAAAGTGTATATTTTTTACTATGAATCACAATTTCACAAATTATGTCCCCCCCCAAATTCATAGGTTGATGTCCTAATCCGTGGTACCTGAGAATGTGTCCTCACTTGTAGATTTTTAAATTTACCAAGTTAAAATGAGGTTTTAGGTTGGGCTCTAATCCAACATGACAAAAATTGATACATATTTATGGGACACACAGACACAGGTGCAGGGAGAGGACTGTGTGACTGCACAGGGTAAGATTGTGGTGATACTTCTACAAACAAAGGGACATCAGAGATGGTCAACAAGCTACCAGAAGCTAGGTAATGCCAAATTCTGCCTCACAGTCTCTAGGGAATGTGGCACATCTTGAGACTGGACTTCTGGCCTCTTGCACTGTAAGAGAAAACATGTCTGTTATTTAAGCCACTCAGTTTGCAGTACTTGGTGACAGCAGCCCTATGAAATGGACACTCCTGGTGTAAAGAGACTTGGAATCAGCAAAAGTAAAAAAATAACTAACCCCACTGGGAAACTACACATTCTGTCTAGCTCTCCCTTCTGGGTTACCCCAGGCTAGTTTTTTATTGCCTTTGGACGATTTTCAAGTTTGAGTTTTAGATGAGAAATGATAATAGAAATGACTTTTTTTTTTCCTTTGGTACTAGAGATTGAACCCAGGGGTTAAACTCTGAGCCATATCCCCATCCCTTTTTATATTTCAGAGACAGGGTCTTGCTGATTTGCTTAGGGCCTTGCTATGTTGCTTGGGCTGGCTTTGAACTCACAATCCTCCCTCCTCAGCCTCCTGAACTGCTGGGATTACAAGTGTGCACCACTGCACACCACTGGAAATGATTTTTGTCTGTGTACAAGCTAATGCATTCTGTGTAGTGGAGGGACAACCTTGAGTCCCCCAAACTGTTCCACTCAAAAGCACAATTTTGCACAATTTAAAGCTCATTTAAATATACCTAAACATTAAATGTGTATGTTCTTCACATTCTCCCTTGAACTGGTTCTAACATCTTACCAGTTCCCTATTCAATTAACAAATTCAAAAGCATATTTGCCACATGCCAGGGCATAGCTATATGACAATATGGTTCTTCTCCTTTTTTTGGTCAAAATTATTATTTTTTTTAACATTGGAAAGCCTCAAATTGGGCTGTGGCTGGCATTTCTCTGCTGCATTATGCTGGGATCTTTGTGGGGGAAGCGGGTGGTGGGGACAGCAGCCCTACCCTGATCTCTTTAGGACTTCATTGTTGGAATTGCTTTCTTGAGAAAATGTGAGGCTTGGGAATGGAGAACTGAGGGTCCTCAGAGCCTCACTGCAATTCATTCTTCTTGGCTCAGAGGCCTTACGATGCAGGAGGTGCTGGTTTCCTCTTCTGCACTCCACGAGAGATCCACTGTTGTCCTGCTGGAAGATAGAGGGAACTGGTTCCCAGAAGTGGTTCACCCCGTTTAAACCACAAGGCAAGTGGCAAAGCCACTGAACATCCAGGACTCCAAGGATAACACTATTCCTGCCTCCTGTGGGCAGGCCTGAGGTCGTCTCCAAAGATCCCCTCTCCCCTTGAGTGTGGGCAGGACTTCAACTTGCTTCTGTTCTGCCAAGGGGATGGGATGTCACCATTTTCATGATTACATAAGATTGTAAGTTCTGTCTTCCAAGCAGAAGTTTTGACACCCCAGCTGCCATGGGTGAGCTGCCTATGGCAAGATCCACATGGCCAGAAATCAGGGGAACTCTAGCCAACACTCAGCAAGGAGCTGAGGCCTTCAGTCCATCCATCCCCACAGAAGAGCTTCAGCCTGCCAACATCCAGACCCTTCCCCAAGGGACCTTCAGATGAGACCCTGCCCTGGCTGATACTCCCACTGCAGAGAGAGGCAAGGAAGCAGAGGACACACTGTGCCATGCCCAGACTCCCGACTCACAGAAATGGAGAACATGATGGGCGCTGTTTTAAGCCACTACGTTTGAAATGATTTCTAGGCCAGCAGTAGATAGTGAAGCAGCATGCTCTAGAAACATTCACCCACCATTCACCATCTCAGGTGCGCGATGCACATCTATCTGTAAAAGAAATAGAGCAAAATTCCTGCTCTGATGGATCATGGATTCTAGAGTTGGATGTGTGTGTGTTAGGCAACAGATGTAAGAAATAAGTGATACAGGGCGTTAGCCAGGGTTCTCCCCAGAGACAGAACCAACAGGCTACCCGGCTGGAGACAGGATGCACAGAGTGAATGTACTGGCTTGCATGAGTATGGCAGCAGTGAGAGCCTCACAGCAGGCTGAGTACAGGCTGGCGACTCTGGGATGGCCCCTCCATCCTCGTCCTAAGGCCTCCAAACCAGGGAAGCTGATGGTGTAATTTCCAGTTAAAGGACGAAGACCTGGGAACCTGGAGAAGGGCAAACCTGGAATTCTGGTGCCCAAGCAGGAGGTGGGCATGTCCCAGCTCTGTGGGGTGAGGGGACTCCATTTCGCCTTCTGTGTTTGTTCTCCTTGAGGGCCCTCGGCTGATTGGGTGGTGCTCACCCATACAGAGGGTGGATCTTCCCCACCTGGTCCACATGCTAAACTCTGGAAACACCCCAGCATCCACACCCAAAGTAATGCCTTGCCAGATTTCTGGGGATTCCTTTGTCCAGCCAAGGTGGCATGTAAAATTGGCCATTGAAAGTGTCCTAGTCTGTTCAGGCTGTTAGAACACCGCAGACCAGTGGCGTATCAACTCATTTTTTCCCTCATAGTTTTGGAGGTTGAGAGTCTGACATAAGCTGGCCAGCATGGCTGGGTCCCTGGCGAGGGCTCTTCTGATCTGGGGATGGCTGCCTCCATGCTGTGTCCTCACATGGTGGCAACAGGGTGCTCTGGTTCCTTCCTCTCCTTGCAAGGGCACTAATCCCATCATGGGGCACACCCATGATCTCATCTAAGCCTAATCACCTTGGAGGCTGCATGCTGGTAGCAGGCCCGCCCTGGCCCCTGGGGACTCAACCCCCAGTTCTTTGTTATGCATGTCAATGTGGTTCCCTGTTTATCTGCCTGGAGCACATGTGTCTCTCGGGAACATCTTGACCTGTTCGAGCCTCCTGATAGGGGACGACGTGAAGGTAACCCAAGGACGCAGTTATTACTCTTCCCTCCTCACTTTTGAGTAATTTCCCGCAGCTGTTAAAAAGATATATAAGGGGAACAAATTTGGCAATAAAGCGCGCACATGCTCCCTCCTGGATGAAGAACCTTGGTGTCCTGTGTATTTTTAACCCCGCCGTCCCTCGCCGGACTCGGCTCTGTTAGCCGGACGCGGCAGCTGCACATTGGGGATTAGGGCTCAATATCACCAGAGCTACTTAACATAGCACATGCTATTGTTCAATGGTTACAAAGTGTGTTAGAAGTGCCTACACAACACAGGAAGGCAGTGTGAGGAAGGTGGGGAGTGGGCTGGGTAGGAGTCTGCTATTTTAAGCCTCTCCTGGGAGAGTGATTGGAGCAAAGACTGCAAGAGGGAGATGGCCATGCAGATACATTGGGGAGGAGCACTTCATGCAGAGGAACACTTCATACAAAGGCCCTGAGACTGACTCACCCCTGGAGTGACAGAGGAGAAGCCAGAGGCCCTGACTAGAGCAGATGAAGGGCAGGGTGGGTGGAGTGCAGGTCAGAGGTACAGGGGCAGAGGGAAGATCTTGCACGTCCTCAGGGGTCACTGCAAGAACTTTGCTTTTACCCTTGAAGGAGTGGCATGCTCTAACCACTAAATGCTGGTCACTTCACCTCCTGCCCACTCTTGCAAATTGGAGAATTTATAAATCAGCCAAACTGGGCACCTTAATAAGCAAGATACCTGCCCTGTTCTGAGATAGTTTGTTGATGAAGACTTTCCAGAATCCTAGACATCCTTTGAGGACACCCAAAGCCCTGCCTTCTCCCACCTCCTTTGGCTGTATTCTCAGATCCCAGCAGAGTGGGCTGCATCCATCTGGCTTTGTGCCCTGGGCAGGAAGATGTGCTGGGCAGGGCCTACATCCTACCTTTCTGTTAGGTCCCCTGCTGGTGTGTGCCCAGGAGCTCTCTCCTTCTGGCTTCTCAGCTTCTCTGTTTTGGCAGAGTTCTGCCATTCCTGTGGCTTTCCACCAAGTGCTGCTCCACCAGCCTGCCCTGCAGCTACCATACCTTTTCCTTGCTGCTCCAAGGAGCACAGTCCATGCTCAGTGCCTGTGACCATCTGGCCCTCCCCTTCCCTGTTTCCCCAATGGGGTTTATATATGCTGCAGCCATCAACACTCCAAGGATTAAAATGCCCTATTAATGAGAATGATAGATGAATTTTAAGGAAAGCAATGAGTAAGGGTGTTGGTTTTCTAAATAAGTTCATGTCCAAGTGAAAAAGAGAAAAGCAGATTGCATATTTAAATTCCAGTGTTCTTTTAACATTACAAGTTTTACCCAGTGTCCCTGGCAGTACAAGTGTCCCAGTGTTGTGTTTCTATAAAGAATAACTGTATATGTGATTTTTAATTTTATATACCTAAACAATATCTTTCTGAAAATAGTAACAAATCTTTGGGAAACATACATAAATTCAGATTCTTTTCCTTAAGGAAGGTCTCCTAATGTATGAGTCTCAAGGCCCCTGATGTGTGGGCCCTCTTTGGAGGTGATAAGAGATGGAGATGAATTGGTGGCAGATCCCAGCAGGAAAGGAACAGTGGGACAGACAAAGAAGGCTCAGCTGCTGAGACCGGTTGGAAGGTGGGCAGGCCTCTCAGCTGCTTCTGGACTTTGGGACAGCAGCTTGTACTAGGGGGTGCCAGGTGACTCCTGTTGCCTCTCAGACTGGATGGGACCAAATGAAACTTCAGACAGAGGCCCAGTCTAGGTGAGGGTAGGAAGGCGGGGGGGGGGGGGGGGGGGGCCCTTCATGGGTGTGAACCAGTATCAATTTCAGGGCCTGCTTAGAAGACCCAGTCTTGCTTCACTTTCTGCTGGTGTTGCCCAGGAAATTCTTGATAATTTTTTAAGACCTTACACTTCCATTCTGCACTAGGCCCTGCAAATTTTGTAGTGGTCTTCATTACTGAACTTTCTGTGTCCCCTTGTAATTCTGCCAAGGCAAAAATACACTGGCCTCCCCCTAGTGCCTGCTGGAAGCCTTTCCACCCCAACTACCCTCCAGCCCTGAGTTCTGGCCCTAGGTCTGGTTTCCTCCTGGGGGAGCTTGGGGTCAGCAAAGCTGCCCTCCTTCAAGCTGTGTGTGGACTCAGAGCCCTGACCTCACGGGGTAAGCCACTGCATAAGTGAATGTCAGCAACTGCGTGTGACCTGTCAGACCAACCACGCGTTTCCTTGAGCGCTGTTCCTACATCTTTGAGTGAAACCACGGGTGGGACTCGTGGGTATACTGCGACAGATGATCTGATTAGGACGATTTTCTTAAGTGCAGCATGAAATGGAGACAATGTCCAACCCTCCTTAGGCTGACATTTCCTGGAGCTGGGGTCACCTGGGCAGGAGGGTGCACTCCAGGGGGACCAGGCGGACTAAAAGGCAGCCCACAGTCACAAGTGAACTTCACGCTTGGGGCGCGCCTTGGGGTGGAGTCCTCATACCAAGGGGAGAGAGGGCGCACGGGATTAGGTCCATGGGCAGAGACCCGGGCTTGGGGCACACCCGCCGCCAAAGACTGTTGTGCACATTTGCATCCCCGGCACTGCCCTAGCCCGCACCCACCTGGGCGGCAGAACTCCGGCAACAAGGCGGCGGGAAGGGCGGGAGTCTGCACCCAAAGAGCGTCTAACCGCGCGCGGATAGTCTGCGCCTGACGCCCTGCGCGGCCTGGGCCTCAGATGGTACATTCCTCATCCCCTGCCTAGACCACAGATGGTTCCGACCGGTTCCGCGCACTTCTCCCCGGCCGCCGCGGAGCGCGCAGAGGGACGTGGCCACGCCTCGCTGAATAGTCATGAGGTGGGAAGCTCGGCCTCCGGGGCGGGGCAGGCCACTCCTCGCGCCCCTACGCGACCGGCCGGGGCGGGGCCCGGCTGCGGACGCGAGGGGCGGGGCCGGGGTCCGCTCCGCCCCCGCGCAGGCCCCACCCCGCGCCCGCCGCCGCGCAGGGCAGGGGCGGGGCCCGTCGCCAGCAGGCCCCGCCCCCGCGGTGAATATTGATGCGGCGCGCGTCGGCGTCGCCCTCCTCCCATTGAGCGAGGCTGTGTCGCGTGGCCCGGCGTCGGCGTGACGGTTGGACGCGGGCGCGGCACTGCGGGTCCCGATTGCTGCAGCCGCTTGTCAGTGTGATGAAGATTGGCACCCAGGTAAGCTGTCACTCAACCGCTCCGCCGCCGCCGCCGCCGCTCTCGCCGCCGCCGTCCCTATCAATCACACCGGCCGCGGCGGCCGCTGCCGCACCGCTGCGCCGCCTCGGGTCGGGCGGGCGGCGCCCGGGGCCCGCACTTGCCCCGCCGCCCGGGGCTGGGGGCGGGCGCGGGGGAGGGGAGCGCGGCGGGGGAGGGGGCGCCGTCCGCTCGCGGCGCGGGGGCGCGCCCGGCCTGTTTTCCTGTGTGGGCTCAGGGACGCGGAAATTTCTGGAAGGCGCCGCGGCCGCCGCGCAGGGCCCGCTCGAGGCGCGCGCTGCTAACCGTCCCTTTCGGAGTGCGGCGCGCGCCCCTGCGCGGGCGGCGGGGGTGGCGGGGGCGCGCCGAGCCGCGGGCGGGGTGCGGGCGGGGGCGCGCGGGCCGGGCCGGGGCGGGCCGAGGGTCGGAGCGGGTGCGGCGGGCCGGGCCTGGCCCGGGGACGCGGCGGAAGATGGCGGCGGGGTCCCGGCGCGGTGCGGGGTCCCGGTGCGGTGCGGGGTCGCGTTGCGGGGTCCCCGTGCGGTGCGGGGTGTCGCGGCGAGGTCCCGGGCCGGTGCTGGGTGGCGGGGCCCGGGTCGCGGTGTCGGGCGGCGAGGGTGCCGGGCGCGGCGGAGGGGTCCCGCGGGCGGCCGGTGGGGTTCCGGGAGGGGTTCCAGTGTGCGCTTGACCCAGCCGGTCCGAGTAGCTCCTGGGGAAGAGTTTGGCACGGGTGCCCCCGCGGTGGACCGCACGTTCCTTGTGAGAGAACTCGCCTGCTTGGTTCCGCGGTGCCCTGCGATGCCCGGCTTGGAGAGTGGCCCCGGAGCGACCGCCGGGCCCCGCCTAGGACGCTCGGATCCTCTACCCCGTAGACGGTGCTGTGCGTAGAGCGGTACGAGCCCGGGAGCGGCGCCTGCACTTCGCTAAATTTGATCGCAGACTTGCAGCCGTTCAAGATGGATTTGTCATAGACCAGGGGCTCTAATGTCATCATTTAGGTAGCTTGTGAGAGTGGCTTATTGTAAATGTAACCTAGTTTTTCCTGAAGATGTTGGTACTTTTCGTCAAAGGATAGAAGAAAACCCCAGCTTTAGGCCTCATCTCATGATACTGAAAAAGGAGTGTTCGGTTGGTATTATAAAGATGAGTTTAAGTGAACTGCCAACGTGTTCGCCAGTACAATTACTGGTGATGCAGTCGAACCTGGTTGACTTGGAAGGTGGCACACTGACTCTCATCTTCATCTCTTGTTCTTTAATGTATTTAGGGTGGAGAGTGATGTGTGGATCATCTTGCTGCAATAGTTGATGGAGCTAAAATGTACCCTTTTGTTAGGGACCACTGCTCACAATTCCTATGGATGCACTGCTTTCTTAGTGGGCCAGTTGGAGTTGAAGTATTTAAGAGTTAAGTATGCTTTAGAATTGAGTAAACTTGTCCTGTGGAGGATGGCCAGCTCTAAAAATTAACAATCTCTGTTTATAATTTTAAGTGTCAGCAAGTTACCTGGTTAATGATCTGAGGTTCCTGTTCTCTAGCTTACATTTAGTTACATTTCTGTGACAGTGTAACCTAATTTTAGGGAAGTCCTAATTGTGAATAGCAGAAATGGTCGTTACTTGAGTAGTAACATTCTGTTTACAATTTTCATTTTTGTTTCTAATTGTTAACTGTCTGAAACTTTAAAAGAAAAGCCTGAAGGTGAGAAAGTGATGCAGAGTGTAGACCTCAGGGACCTTGACTCTCCCAGGCCAAAATAAAAATTTCAAGAATAGAACCAATGATTTTGAAATAGTCATCAAAACATCGAACCAAATTATTGATAGAGTCCAATCTAAGCCTTCTGTTAACACAGTACATCACCCATCAGTGGCTCTGGTAAGTCTTTGGAGTAGTAGTGAGATTTCCCTGATAACCTGTGCTTTGTGAACATGTCTGTCACTGACCTGCTGAAACTCCAGGGCTTATTATCTGCTTTCATCATTGAAGAAGTGCTAAATTTCAGCTAGAAGTTATTGCAGATAAATATTTTTTTCCCTTAGGTTCACATAGCAAGTTCTTCAATAGAAGTTCATGTACGCTGAGCCCCTCCTTTATTAGGAATATGGATGGATGTGTTCTTTTTCCCACTTCCTGACACGGTTTTGTTGATGGCAGAGGTGACTAGGAATTCAAATAGCAGGACAAGGGAAACAGCTTAGCTGTGTAGGCTCATGGTGAGGCAAGTCTGTGAGGGTGAGAGAAGTAGCCACAGCTGCAGGAAAGGCTGTCTCCCACTGGTTGTACTGACTGAGCAGCTGTTATGGGTCTGTCCTCAGCTGTTTAAGAAGAAATGTAAAATGGATGTATGGTGTGCAAAAAGTTCAGTCTGGAGATGGATGAACATTTGAGGACTAGAAGGCATGGTCATTTGTTGAGAAGTGTCTGTAGGCCTGGCCACCAAAGGTGGCCAAGTGTCCTGCAGATGCGAGTGAGTGCCAGTTACCTAGCTTGCTGCCTGCTCTCTGCAGGTGGGTGTCAGTCGCTGCCAGTTTATTGTTTCTGAAAAATTCACACAGAGAGCAAGCAGTGTGATATTATAGCAAATAAGTTGTTAAATCTGTATTTAAAAACTGTTGTTCCTTTGATGCCTTAGGGACTTGCGAAGAGGATGGAGCAGGCTCTTAATTCTAAGAAATTTTTGGGATAAAGGTCTACAGCTTAATCTTGAAAACTGCCAATCTGCCAGGTTGAGAGACTGAGGGTCTGTGAACTAGTACAGCATTTGGATTTATTGTGCCTGGGGTGTTGCTTGGTGGCAGAGTGCATGCTCAGCAGGCGCAAAGCCCCAGGTTTGATCCCACATACATACTCAAATGGGATTCATTTTACCATCTGAGGCCTTTCCCTAAAATGATGTGGGGTGATCATGCTGACAGGTCAAGCCATGAGGCTGTACCTTTCTTCCCTCCTTGGGTTAAGCTGCTCAGCATGAATTGTTAGTGTCCCTGCCTGAGGGAGATTATTTGTGCCCAGGGTGATATTGCTATTCTAAAGGTCTGTGTTCCTTAGCTTATCCTCTAGCAAGCATAAAGCTGTCTCTAGGTGAGGCTACAGAGGGAGGTCTGCTGTGGTCACCAGGAGTAAGCATAAAGAAACCTAGTGGGACCCCTGGAATCAACATATTGCTGAATGTCTGGGCAAGTGGAGCCATGGTTCAGCTCTGTGTTAGCTTTTCATCACTGTGACCAAAATACCTTACGACAACTTAGAGGTGGAAAAGTATTTGGGGCTCACAGTTTCAGAGGTTTAGTCCATGGTTGGCAGATTCCTTTGTCCCGGACCTGAGGTGAGGCAGACCTTATGGTGAAAGAGTGTGGGAGGCAAGCTGCTTAACTCTTGACAGCCAGGAAACAGAGTTGTGGGGTGGGGAGAAGATATGCTAGGGACAAAATATAAACCCCAAAGGCACACCCCTACTTCCTCAAGCCATGTACCACCTATCTATAGTTGCCACCCTATTAGTCCATTCAAATTATTAATCCACCAGATAGATTAATCCACCAAAAGGATTAATCCACTGTTAGATTACAGCTTTCATAATTTAATCATTTCTCTGCTGAACATTCCTGCATTAACACAGCAGGAGCTTTGGGGAACACCTTATACAAGTCATAATAGGCTCTGATGGGATCCACCTGCCCACCAGGGATCTTGGCAGCCTTCAGGAAATTAGACTATTACTCTCAGCTCTGTCCTCCTTTCTGCACACTTGACTTCCTCTAGCTTGGGCCCCACCCAGCTCTACCTTGCAGCCTCTCAGTCCCCAGTGCTACCTGCCTGATCCTCTTCCCTTTCCCAGCACACCTCAGAGAGAGACTGACCAAGCTCTTTTCTCTAACATCCCACACTCAGGCGCTGACCTGTGAGCAGGGGGCTGCCTGGTGCAGTGAGGAATGTTGGGCTTCTGCATCTGCACAGTGCCCCTCCTTACAACAGGGCCTACAGTTGGGGTGGGTCGCTCAGGTTGTGGATTGCTAGGTACCATGATTGCAATTTCTAAAACAGTCTGATCAGATTTGTGCAAAAACAATGCCTTTATGAGAGCTTAGTAGACTCTCAATATATTTAGTTATATGTTCTCCAAGATGTTTTATTAAGATTTGCATTTTTGTGTGTGTGCTAGAATAAATTAAGGTTATAACTATAGGAAAAAGGAAAATTATAAACATTAAATGGTCAAACTTCACATTTAAAAAAATTCAGTTATATGTTTATGGGTACTTTCCCCAAACTTCTGTTGTAGAGCTCTCTCTATTTGTATAGTTATATATACAGATTTTACTGTCTTAATTAATTTTAAGTGCACGGCTCAGTGGCATTTAGTTCATTCATGTTCTGCATCCATCTACCTCCAGAACTGTTTTCGTCTTCTTAAACTGAAACTCCTCATGGTTAAACAAACTCCTCTTTCACCCTCTCCCCAGCCCCTTGGCAACCACCATTCTACTGTCTCTCGGAATTTGCCTGTTGTAGGTACTTCAGATAAGTGTAATCACATAATACTTGTCTTTTTGTGATTAACTGTTTCACTTAGCAAATGTTCATCCATATTTCAGCATGTGTCAGAATTTCCAC